TTTTTTTTTAAATAGTCATTTGTTTATTGTTTGCATGACTGCATTTGTTGTAGCTCTCATTCTCATTAGGGAGGATGTGAAAATTGCTTTGCAGTGAGTTTCATTCAATTCTTTGTGATTGGCAGACTTACTTAGCACTAACCTTAAAGCAATTGATTTGGTTTCTGAGGAAGCTTAATTTGATGCTTCCAGAGCAAGACTGATAATTTTGGAGCAGCAGTAAAATGACTGCAGAAGGCTGGCTGGTGTTGTTGATTGATTCTGTTTCCTGTGGTAGAGTCAAGTTAAATCATTTTATTAAAAGTTTTAAATCTAGTAAGATTTTGAATCTCTTTAATTCTGTGTTCATAAATGCTTCATATATATCAATGTTGTCTGAAATTTAAATTCACTATTCTTTTATAGTTAAAATATTTTGTTGGGACTAGCAGGTAGCATGGAGGTTAAGGCAGCTGAATCTCACATGGCCGACTACATGGTTCAAGTGCTGAACCCTGTGGCTTGAAAAACATACTGAGTGCCTATACACACCAAAATCCACAGAGGAGAATGGAAAAGCAAGGATGGCCATCCCCACTGGTGGAGGAGGGTGTGCTTTCTCACTTTCCCTCTCTCTCTGTCTCTGTCAAGTGCACACACCATATAGCCACCCTCCCCTCAAATGTCTAGAATGAATAATGATCACCGAAAATTTATTCTGAGCAGTAAAGTAATTACAATTATATTTATTTATTTATTTTTAAAAGTTTCTTTCATGAGAGAGAGCAAAAGACACAAGGAAAGGGAGGGAGCGAGATGGGCAAGGACTTCCCACAGGGTCTTGCCATGGTAGCATCCTCCCCTAAGTCTTCCAACAAGCCAGGATCACAGGTTTGCCTATGGGTTGGGTGCATATGGCATATTCAGGTCAACCTGGGATCCAAACCTGGGTACTTCCAGCATGACTCCAGTATTGCTCAGTGTAGTCCTACTGCCTGTGCTCGGTGGCTGGGCCACCTTTAGTTGTTCTTATTTGTTATCCTTAAAGGTAACTTATGCACTAAAAAAAAATAATATAAAGTGTTAAAGTAAGAAAAAGTAAGATGAGCCCAGCCATGGTGGTGCAAGTGGTAAGACCTGAGTTTGAATCCCAGACCAACCTGAACAGACCAGGTGTCATACAGTGCACCTAAAATCCTAGCTAACTGGGAGGCTGGGGCAGAGCACAGTATGGCAAGACCCTGTCAAAAATCCTCTCTCTCTTTCTCCCCTGCTGCCACTGTCTCAAAATAAACAAATAAAAGTGAGATCTTAATGTCTTAAATGGGCAAAATATAGAAATTCCATAGTTTTACTTTTGGAAATTATGTTAATTCCTGAAATTTTGTGCGTAGTTTGGGTTTGGGTTACTTATGGCCATATTATATTCAAGATTTTCTTTGGGTAATACTGAACATTTTGTGTCCTGTAGAACTTTTTATATATTATATCTCTATTATTATTTTTATAAATGGGATGGTCAGTATATTTTAAGGATTTTTTTCTTTTCTTTGTATATGTACATTTGGGTAGGAAAAGCCAAATATATGAAACAATTTTTCCTCTTGCAGAATTAAATGTGAGGGAATCTGATGTAAGAGTTTGCGATGAGTCATCATGTAAGTATGGAGGAGTCTGTAAAGAAGATGGAGATGGTTTGAAGTGTGCATGCCAATTTCAGGTGAGAAAACCAAACTTATTTTGATGAATTTCATATTTACATAATTTATAATTCTACATTCCTCAGATCAAAAAGTTTGAAATACCTTGAACCTCACAAGGAAGTTAGTTTCACGGCCTTCCAATTCCTTTTTGTTTCTATTATTTCTACTTTCCATACTTCTTGCCTGGAATTAAAAAGACAGACAGGCGGTAGTAGATATGAAAATGCTTCAAAAGTATTAGAATTATATTTAAATGTAAAGTATAACTATAATTGAAAGGCAAGGGAGGTGTAGGTTCAGTAGTCTCTTACTTAAAATATTGACATCTTTTTCCTTTCTCTTTTAAGTCTGTCTCCTTTCTATTTTTTAAAAATAATTAAAAAAATCTTTTTTTTTCATTTTTATTTAAATTTGACCAGAGAGGGACGGAGTGAGAAAGAGAGGGAATGTGAGAAAGCAAGCTGCCTGGTCTGGGACTTGAACCACAGTTGGCCATATGGGAGTCCAGCACCCTTAACTGCCATGCCATCTGCTGCCCCCCCCCATATTCTTATTTTTAATTTGCCAGAGGACACATATGCTCACTGAATTGTGTGACATTTGATTCCTTTTTTTATTATCTGTGATGAAATTATAATCTGTCTTTAGAATGTTTTTTCCAAGGTGGTACCCAATTTAGGATTTGAGTTGAGACAAGGAACTAGAAAATTTTTTTTCACTCATGATCTTGTTCTAAACATACTCACCATTTTGTATTTTGTGTTAGTATTTCCAGTAACTCTGTGATTGCAGGCAAATTTCGGTGCAATTTTAGGCAGTTTTTTCTGCATCAACATTCTACCTGAAAAGATAAGGCAAATTTCTTACCCTGTATCGCATTTTTTTTTTTAAGAGAGATTTTTGCTATGAGGCATGTGTGGTTGCCAGAGAGACAAGAGACAGAAAGTGAGAAATCCCCCCCTAGGGGGGATGACCATTGCTGCAGTCCCTTCTTCCTCATTCTCCCCTCAGGATTTTGGGGATGCACTCATATGCACCTGATATGAGTTTCAAGCCATCAGATCTGAGACTCGAACCGCAGTCGAGTCTCATGGCAGTCCAACAACGTAACTATTATGCCATCTTCTGGTCCCCCTATATGACATTTTAATGACAATCAAAATGGAAAGAGAGTTTGCATGTGAAATCTCTTTGAAAACTATAAATCATCATGCTGTTTGTTTTCATTAAAACAAGTGGAAAGTTTAAATAAAGAAGGAAAGGTAGCTAGCTGTACTACTATCTCATCCAACAGGTTTTTCATGGTCACAGCGACTTCACATTCAGTTACATAGAGTGACAAAAGTGTTTCTCTTGGGCATTTTTACAATAGCCACCTTCTTCTAAGCTTACTTAGCTTTTGGCTGGCTTCAGATCCTTGTTGTCTGATGACTGGAGACATCAGTTCTTTGCTATGAATGCCTTTCAATAGGGCTCCTCATAGTGTGGAAGCTGGCTTTATCCTGAATGAGATGAGAAGTCAACGATAATTCAGTGTTTTTCCTCTTTATGTAAGGTGTCATTTTCTCTGGCCACTTTCAAGATTTTCTGTATTTTATCAGTTTAACTGTGAAATGCTAAGGTGTAGTTTTCTTTTAGTTCATCCTACTTGGGGATGGCTGACCTAAAATCTATAAGGTTAGCCCTTCACTAAGTTTAGGAAATATCTAGTCATTATTTTGTAAAATGTTTTTTTTTCCTGCCCATTCTCCATTTTAATCTGGGACATCAGTGATATATGTTAGACCTCTTGAGACTTGCCCAGGTACCTGAGCTCTATTCATTTTATTTTTCATTTTTTTCCCTTTCCATTCTCACTTATTTTTAGAATTATTTTATTTAATTGTTTTATTTATTTATTTTAATGTGACCTGACCGGGGGGGAGGGGGGAGAGAAAGAGGGAAAGCAAAAAAGTAAGCTACCAGGTCCAGGACCTGAATGGAAGTTGGCCATGTGGGTGTCCAACACCCTTATACACCATGCCACCTGCTGTCCCCCTGCGTTTTTTAAAAAGGTTTTAGCCATAGGTACATGTGCTTTCCAGAGACAGAGACAGTGAGAGGAAGAGTGAGAAATCGCCACTCCCCCCTAGGGCAGATGGCAATGCCACAGTCCCTTCTCCATTCTCCTTCTGGGATTTTAGGCATGTATGCATACATGTCTGGCATGAGTTTTAAGCTGCCAGGTCTGACACTTGAACCATGATCAAGTGGGGAGTCTAGTGGGGAGTAGGGCCATGAGGAGAGTCTAGTGCCTTAACTACTATGCCACT